CTTAAGAATGGGTTTGGCTCTAAGGACTTGGCGAATTCTTTCTTGAAGAAATAGTGTTTTAGGGACCTCTTTCCTAGATCAGGTCTGTTTATTAAAATGTCCATGCATCTGTATGTATCACTCTTGCAGTGTTCCTGCAGGCCCCAGTAAGCTGCTTTCCCTCCTCCCCTTTTTTTTCTTCTTTTTTTTTTAAGTGGGGCTCTTATTTTCTGTTACTTATTTCAGTTTTCTTTTTATTAAGTTCTCAAAAGTCTGCAAACTGATTTGCTAGCAAAATACAGATATTGATACAGAAATGTCATTTTGGCCTGTGGCATACTAAGCACTTTGAAAGGCAATCTAAGCTAATTTGTGTCACTTGCTAGGGAATCTCCGGTTCAAGTGTCCAGAAACATGGAACCTTTGGGGTACTCGGAACAATTGCTCTCCATCCATCCATATCCACAAGATACAAAGGACGTCTCTTTCATCGAGTGAGGGGCAGGCCATCCACATAGTCACCTGACTTTTAGCTTTGAAATTATTCTGATATGTCCATTCTCGTTTACTTACAGAAAATTCAATTAGGAGCACATATTTAGAAACCTGCAGAACTATCGCAATTGTTAGATTTTTGAGTGTACTGCCTACTGGAATTGGGGTTTCATATCCCAGAACAGTTTTAGCGTCTTTCCTCAACACAGCTCTTTCATGGAAGGGAAAGATTGTAGTCATTTTTTTATTGTTGCTTTCTATTTTAAAAATTAGAGTGACTTTAATAGGTACATACATTCAAGAGATTCTGCATCATTCTTTGTTCAGAAAGGCTGAGAACATCCTGTCCATATATTTTCTGTAACACAACATGAAGAATCTTATTCATGAAAATTACTCCTTGGAATTATTTTTAGCTAAAAATCCTGAAGTAACCCTTCCTAAGTCTTTCTTTCCTGCCCCTGTTAAGGAAAAACAAACACAGTCTTTTTGAGAACTCTACCTGTAGTATATAGCAAACAAGCCTAAAGCATTTTAAAGTGTGAACATCCTGTAATAAGATACTTTTTTCTTGGTCAAATGGCTTGAAGAGTGGGTATTGCCCTCCCTCCAACTGCCCCATTCTTTTTCAGTGTTATATGACATTTCTACTTTTCTTCATCCTTTTTTTCTTGCCTCTTTTGTTGTTACTCTTGCTACAGTTCATCAGATCCAGCGTCTTTTTAAAAGCCAAATAACTCTATAGATCTACAGTAAGGTACAGCTGTGTAAGCATTCTGTCCCCATCACCGAGAGTGTAGAAGTGGCTGAAGTGTAGCTCTTGAACCAGCCGTGGCACTGCAGGACTAGCGATGGGGAAATGAGCTCAAGTACGTGCTTAAGAAAGTTAGGACCAAGTTTCACGATCATTTAATCCTGCACCTGCATGCTGCTCCAGTAGTGGGACAGATTAGGCTGTAGTCAGATGCTGGACAAATCCAGGATGATATTTTTGTCTAAATTTGCAGAGGACATTAAAACTTGTGCTAGATTTATGCTGGTTTTATGTAAGACTGCCAGTACAAATTTAACCTGTCAAAAATACTTAATAGATTTGAATGCAGAATGAGTTTACGCTGGATCAGCATTTTGCACCATGTGGCAGTAGCAGCTTTGATCCACCACGTTTGAAATTATAATAACTTTTGGTTGGGCTTCTCAGCCAGCAGCATAATATTTTAGGTACCTCATGTAATAGAACAGTCGCAGACATAGAACACTAAAAAAAAAAAAAAAGGTCAGGAACATTATCCTCATAAAACTATTAAGGCTTTGTGTTAACTGAGATTTATACCACTTTGGGATAAACTTTGGCTTGGGAACTGAATGCAATTTAAGTGGAACTAGGGATTGCCTGGGTGTTTCTCTCTGAGCCATATGGAGACAGCCTGGGCGCGTAGTTCTCCTCTGGCTGCTTTCTCGCCTGGCTCCTTTTGAGAGTTTGGCGCTGCAAACCTCAGGTCCCTCCTCCCAGGCAGCAGCCGCTGGGTTCAAGGGGGGTCTCCCTCCAGAGAGATGCCTGCAGCAGATGCTGCTCGCAGCTACCTGCTCTGCACCCCGTCCGCTCTGTCAGCACTGGGTAGTTTTGATTCAGAAATGCCCTACTCTTTTCACTCCTCTACTACAGCAACAGTAAGAGCATCGCCTCATGCACCGATGGCAGGAGTGTCTTCCCCCAGACGCTCCCCGAGATGGAGGCCGGTGACTCCCGCCGCTCCCACCACCTGGGCTGCACGGCCTCAGCCCTGCGCGGGTCTCCATTTCCCCGATCTGTTCCCCACATTAAACGATTTTTCTCTTTTCCTTTATGAGTTTAGTGGCAGATTCCAGCCGAGGTACGGCATTGCCGAGCTCTGTGCTTTAAGCGATGTAGCATTTTAAATAGGGTGATGATCCACACTGGCACCTCTCTGCTCGGGCAGGGGTCTTCTCTGTCCTTGGCAGCAGCAGTGAAATGGCATCAGGCACACAGAGAGGAGAACAAAAAAAAAATAATACTGTCCCTAGCTTTTCCATTTTCTTCTCTGGCAAACATGAATAAGTCAGTGTTCCTAGGAAAGGTGAGATACTTTTTGACTTGTGAGCGAGTACAGAAATGGTGCAAGATCTCACTGTCCCCAGAGGCACTGGGGCAGGCCTGATTAAGCAGCTCACAGGGTCTTCAGAGCAAACTGATACACCTGAAGGTTTAATTCGCTTTTACTGCTAGCTGCAGTTCCTCTCTTCCCAGGTTTATCTACCTTTATTCGGGAGGGAGGCGAGGAGGAGGAGGTGTGTTAGCAGGCCCCACGGCAGGCTGCTTGCCCGGGCTGCGGGCGGTGCTCGTTTCGCGGGCTCGGGGAGGGGAGAAGGAACCCCTGCCTGAGGACGAGCGCGCTGCCCTGCTTGCCTCTGTTTTGACTTTTTTGAGGAAAATGTTGAGGTAATTTTCTCAGGTTGATAAAGTTTTGTTGTCCGATGTCTACTTGAGGTGGAAAAAAACGTTTCTGTGAGCGTCCCTTTGTACCGACTGTTCACCGCCAGGCGCCGAGCGCTGTCC